CCCACTCAAAAAAAAAAAAAAAAAAAAGAAGGTTGAATGAAACAAGTCCCCTGCTGTGTTTAGCTCCAGTTATACTCCATTGTGTTCCTTCACTTTGTCTTCCACAATAACAATTTGTCCAGTTTTCCATTTTATTTTATTTACTTATTTTATTTATTTTTTTGAGAACAGGTCTCGCTGTGATCACCCAGGTCTGGAGTGCATGTGTGTGATCTTCCGGCTCCAACTGCAACCTCTGCCCTCCTGGGTTCAAGCGATTCCTCCTGCCTCAAGCCCTTCCAGCAGCTGATATGGGTACCTGGCCCCATGGCCCACAATTTTGAGTTTTTTAATAGAGGACGCGGGGTTTACCATGTTTGCCAGGCTGGCTACACTCCCTACCCTCAGGTGATCAACCTTCTCCCTCGGCCTCCCAAAAGTGGTTGGGATGTGGGGATACAGTGTGAGCCCCATTCATGCCCAGGGCCCTATCCATCCCCCACTTTTTTTTTTTTTTTTTTGAGACGGAGTTTCACTCTTATTGCCCAGGCTGGAGTGCAATGGCGCAATCTCCGGCTCACCACGACCTCCGCCTCCTGGGTTCAAATGATTCTCCTGCCTCAGCCTTCTGGTAGCTGGGATTACAGGCATGAGCCACCACGCCCAGCCTGTCCATCCCCATTTTATAAAGAAATTGAGACTCAGAAATAAAAGGATTTTTTCAAGGTCACACAAGTGCCCTGGAGGCAACTGATTCCAATCCTAACCTTTTGAGGCAATTAGCAGCAGTTTCAACCTGGTTTCCTAAGTCACTGATGGGGTTAGGGAGGGTAGGCAGATGACTTCCTGTGGCCACTGGTGGTTTCAAGTTTTTACTGCCTGGCTGAGTTCTGCCTTCAGTCAGGTGGTGGGAGTGCCAAAGCTCGTGGGTGCTACCTACAAACCACCTTTGTGAAAAAACTGTAGAAGGCCGGGCGCGGTGGCTCAAGCCTGTAATCCCAGCACTTTGGGAGGCCAAGACGGGTGGATCACGAGGTCAGGAGATCGAGACCATCCTGGCTAACACGGTGAAACCCCGTCTCTACTGAAAAAATACAAAAAAACTAGCCGGGTGATGTGGCGGGCGCCTGTAGTCCCAGCTACTCGGGAGGCTGAGCCAGGAGAATGGCGTGAACCCGGGAGGCGGAGCTTGCAGTGAGCTGAGATCGCGGCCACTGCACTCCAGCCTGGGCGACAGAGCGAGACTCCGTCTCAAAAAAAAAAAAAAAAAAAAGAAAAAGAAAAAGCTGTAGAAGCTCCTAAAAGCCAGCCGGACGTGGTGGCTCATGCCTATAATTCCAGCACTTTGGGAGGCCAAAGTGGGCGGATCTCGAGGTCAGGAGTTCAAGAGCAGCCTGGCCAACATGGTGAAACCTTGTATCTATTAAAAATACAAAAATTAACTGGGTGTGGTGGTGTGCACCTATAATCTCAGCTATTTGAGAGGCTGAGGCAGAAGAATTGCTTGAACCTGGGAGGCGAAGGTTGCAGTGAGCAGAGATCATGCAGTCAGGCCTCTGAGCCCAAGCTAAGCCATCATATCCCAGTGACCTGCACGTAGACATCCAGATGGCCTGAAGCAACTGAAGATCCACAGAAGTGAAAATAGCTTAACTGATGACATTCCATTCCATTGTGATTTGTTTCTACCCCACCCTAACTGATCAATGTTCTTTATAATCTCCCCCACCCTTAAGAAGTTTCTTTGTAATTCTCCCCAAATTCTCCCCACCCTTGAGAATGTACTTTGTGAGATCCACCCCATGCCCCTAAACCTACAAGAACTCATGATAATCCCACCACCCTTGCTGACTCCTTTTTCGGACTCAGCCCACCTGCACCTTGGTAAAGTAAACAGCCTTGTTGATCACACAAAGCCTGTTTGGGGGTCTCTTCACGTGGATGCGTGAGACATTTGGTCCCGAAAAAGAACTATCAGGCCGATTCCCCAGGTATACCTAGGCGAGATTACATGGTTTCCTGCCTAGTTGAAGGGCTTAAAAAGGCATCTTACAAAGCTGTTAATTATGACAAACAAAGCTACCCAAGGTAAAGAACCCAGCCCAGTTCATGGCCCGTTTGGCAACAACCCTTAGACACTTTACCACTGTAGACCCAGAGGGGCCAGAAGGCTGTCTTATTCTTAATATGCATTTTATCACCCAGTCAACTCCTGACATTAGAAAAAACTCCAAAAATTAATTTCCAGCCCTCAAACCCCACAACAGAACTCAACTAACCTTGCCTTCAAGGTGTACAATAATAGAGACAGCGTATTTCTGAGTTGCAATTACTTGCCTCCACTGTGAGAGAAACCCCAGCCACATCTCCAGCACACAAGAACTTCAAAATGCCTGAACCACAGCGGCCAGGTGTTCCTTCAGGACCTCCTCCCCCAGGATCTTGCTTCAAGTGCCAGAAATCTGACCACTGGGCCAAGGAATGCCCGCAGCCCGGGATTCCTCCTAAGCCGTGTCGCATCTGTGCGGGACCTCACTGGAAATTGGACTGTCCAGCTGGCCCAAGGCTCTGACTGATTCCTTCCCAGATCTTCTCGGCTTAGCAGCTGAAGACTGACACTGCCCGATTGCCTCGGAAGCCTCCTGGACCATCACAGACGCTTTGGGTAGCTCTTACAGTAGAGGGTCCATCCCCTTCTTAATTAATACAGAGGCTACCCACTCCATTACCTTCTTTTCAAAGTCCTTTTTCCTTTGCCTCCATAACTATTGTGGGTATTGACGGCCAGACTCTAAACCTCTTAAAACTCCCTGACTGTGGTGCCAACTTAGACAATACTCTTTTAAGCACTCCTTTTTAGTTATCCCCACCTGCCCAGCTCCCTTATTAGGTCAAGACATTTTAACTAAATTATCTGCTTCCCTGACTATTCCTGGGCTACAGCCACACCTCACTGCCACCTTTTCCCCCAGTTCAAAGCCTCCTTCACATCCTCTCCTTGTATGTCCCCACCTTAATCCACAAGTATAGGATACCTCTAGTCCCTCCTTGGTGACAAATGATGCAGCCCTTACCATCCCCTTAAAACCTAATCACACTTACACTGCTCAATGCCAATATCCCATCCCACAGCACACTTTAAAAGGATTAAAGCCTGTTATCACTTGCCTGTTAAAGCATGGCCTTTTAAAGCCTGTAAACTCTCCTTATAATTCCCCCATTTTACCTGTCCAAAAACCGGACAAGCCTTACAGGTTAGTTCAGGATATGTGCCTTATCAACCAAATTGTCTAGCCTATCCACCCCGTGGTGCCAAAGCCATATACTCTGCTATCCTCGATGCCTCCCTCCACAACCCCTCCGTAACCCATTATTCTGTTCTGGATCTCAAACATGCTTTCTTTACTGTTCCTTGCACCCTTCATCCCAGCCTCGCTTCGCTTTCACTTGGACTAACCCTGACACTCATCAGGCTCAGCAAATTACCTGGGCTGTACTGCCGCAAGGCTTCACAGACAGCCCCCATTACTTCAGTCAAGCCCAAATTTCTTCCTCATCCATTACCTATCTCGGCATAATTCTTTATGAAAACAGACATGCTTTCCCTGCTGATCGTGTCCGGCTAATCTCCCAAACCCCAACCCATTCTACAAAACAACTCTTTTCCTTCCTAGGCGTGGTTAGGTACGTCCACCTTTGGATACCTAGTTTTACCATCCTGACTAAACCATTATGTAAACTCACAAAACCAAACCTAGCCGACCCCATAGATCCTAAATCCTTTCG